GTGCTGCGTTGTGCTGTAAAGAAGCAGAGAAAGGAGAAACTCAAATACCCAAATCCAGTGGTATTTCAGTTCCTCCCCTGGGGAAAAATTTGGCTTTCCCCAGCCCTGAGAATTGCTTTCAATATGTGTGTGTGTGTTCTAGCAAACAGTGCTCTTCACATTCCTAAAATCTCTCTGGGACACTGAGGGCTCTGGATAATTTACTGCCAAGAATGGGCCAAATCTGAGGATGCCAAATTTCTTTTGCTTTAGATGTGGATGAGAAAAGAAAACTACTGAACCCAGAAGCAGTCAGACATAAAAATGCTCCTGGACCATGCCATAAAACTTATTATTAATTAAATTTAATGTAAATGAAATCAAACTACTTTATTTTTTTTTTTAAATCAGTAGAACTCAGATCCAGGACTGCATGGCAGTCCCCTTCTGAGAGTCCAGTCAATCAATCACCTCGTGCCACAGGCTGTGAGAGAACCCCATGGGGTGTTTTTACACAATCCTTTTAATTAGGTGTTTGATCACCTCCTCTGAAGAAGGTTTCTTGTTCACCACAGTCCCCACAGTTTCAGTTCTATTTGTCCTACAGTAAATGTGGCTGGTGCCACATAATGCCAATGCTGTTCTCATTATGTTTTATAGCAATTAAATTGCACAGCACTTCTGTTAGTTCTAATTTAAACATTTTTCCCACATCATAATCCTGCTTCTAAATTGGTGAAAAGTCTCTAGGTTTTTTTGTGACTTGTTTATTTTGCCAAGACCAGCTGAATATCTTCAGTTGCCTTCTGTCTTGAAAATGATCCTCTTAGTGTAATTTCTGAAAATTAAACCCTGTCCTTTCTGTCCATACCTCCTGTTGAGGTGTGCTAGGAATTATTTTACTTTATTCTACTTGGGTCTTGTGCACAGCAGTAACTTTGTCTAAGAAGGCATCCTGTTTTTCTATATATACTTTACTAATTTGCTTCCTATAATATTTATTTCATTGGTTTTTTTGTCAAGGAGCTCTGGAATTGTGTATATTTTTCCCCCCAAACTCTGATGATGCTATACAGTGTTTGACATCTTAGGTGCATTAGAAATTAACAGTTTTCAGTCATGTAGGTGCTTAAATGTGGCTTTACAGGGAAAACAATTCTTTCTCAGCTAATTAAATAGGGGTGGATTACGAATGAGGTGACTGAAAGCTTGGAAAACAAAAGGAAGTCGTGAGAGAGAAGGTTCTGGACAAAACAAATTTTGAGAAGGGGTTTGGCAGCTGAACTAAGGCAGTGGCTATCCCACAGGTGTCTCTGTAAGGAAAGAACAACAGCCCTTTTGAGGCCCTCCTTACATATTTTTGAGGCTTGATGACAAAGGAAAGATGAATCTGTGAGCACTGGTGTGAGAGCAGGGACTGGGAAGTTCATTGTCACTTTTATCTCATGGCAGCATTCTTTTCCTTTGGAATTCGTTCTGTCTGGTAGCATTTATTGCTATTTGTAGTCAGTGGGTTTGTCAGGGAGGCTATTTTAAAATGCTGGTGAGCTGTCCTTGCTCAGATGTGGACAGAATAGTCCCTGTGTATTTATTCCTGGCTGGAACCAAAATCCCCCAGCCACAACTTTTTAAGACTAAGTTTCTAGACTGAGGAAGGTGCATGTAATAGCTGGGGGGAGGATGAGTTTCTATCAGGAGGGTAATAGGGCTGTGAAAATAGCAGATGTCATCCAGGAGTGCCTGAATCCCCAGTTGATGCAGGGAGGTGAACTGGACCAGCAAACCCAGTACTTGTTCAGCCACTGACCTAAAACTGGAATTTAACTGTTTTTTTAACTGTTTATAACTGCATGGAAGGGCAGCAGAAAGAGTTGTCTTACCAGAGGAAACAGTCTGCCTTCCCCTGCTTATCTCTAGCTGCTAGGCAGAGGGAAAGAATTTGATTTCCATCTAGAGATATCTCTGGAGAGGAGGACAGCTGAAAATAGCTGTTTAAGCCTAATAAGCTGCTGGAGAAAACAGTCTGTGTAATTCAGCCTGGAAGATATCACCATTAGTTATTAGATGTAGATTCCTGACTGCTGGGACCACAGTGAAACCATTCTGGAAGAGTCAAAACACCTGAATACTTTTATGAGTTTGAATGCCTGCAAAGCACCAGGACTTGATGAAGAAGATTCCCCTTTTTGTTGTTGTTTAACTACAGGCAGAATTCAGAATTTCCACACATGAAATCCATAGCTTTCAAAAGATAACACGCCTTAATAAAATTCAATTTAATGCCAACATTTTTACTATTGCAGCAGCCTCAGCATCCTCGTTGGCAGTGTCAGGAAATGAAGGCTGTAATGAACTCAGCTCTCTCTGTCAGCTCCTGTCCCTCAAGGTCAGCCCCAGTGCCCTAAGCTTGGGCAGGGACGTGCACACGGTCAGCTTTCCTCCTGAAATTGCTCTGTGAATGGATAAAAGATTTCATTGCCCTCTGCTGAAAATGGAGAGGCAAACCCAGCACCATTTGTGAGCAGAAAAATTAGCCTTGAGCTGAAATAAATACCGTGCAGTGCATCCTTTAGAGCTCCCAAGGCAAAGGAAATGCGGTGCAATTGTGGGTCAACTTCTTGTGTTAAAAATGCAATTCCAGTTTAAACCTCACCCTAAAAATCTGCATTAGTCTTTAAATACAGAATTGTGTTTCAAGATTACACAGTAAAATGTTTAATTTTCTTAATTCAATCTTCAGAGCTCTTTGATCATGCAGCAGCATTTAGGCAACTATTTTCTTGTTCTTTTTCCTCTTCCTTTAATTATAAAGTTTCATTTTTGTCCATCTCCAGGAGAAGAATAATGACTTTTTAGAGTAAAAATAGTGTCATTTACACATGAAGTCATGATAACTTGTACAAATTATGTTATTATAGGACAGATATTGAGGAAAAAGAAGTGACTTCCTATTCCAGAAAGCTGGAGCAGCCTCTTAAATTCTTAAATATTCTTAATTCTTAGATATTCCTTACTGGAACTATTTCTTATAGACATACAAACTTTTTATTTCTTGTCTGATCTGAAAAGATAATCTTGTTGTAAAAGACTAGTAGTTTTGGGTTGTTTTTTTTGGTTTTGTTTCGGATTTGTTTTTTTAACTTGTATTTTAATCTGTAGAAATGTTCAATTATTAATAAAACTGAACATTGTGCAGTCTGAAGTCAGACTTTGGGTCTTTGTAACTGCTGTGTGTCTGTGATGTGTGTTGATGTGTGTTCACACACATGTGTGTGTTTATAGATGTATGTGAATGTCTGATCTCTGCAAACCCACTCGGGTCTATGATTCCAAAATCAGCTCTGCTTGAATTATTGAATCTTGAGCTACAAAGTTCCATTAAATAACATAAATCAAATCTGCAGGAGTACAGATTGTAATCTGGAGCACATGTAGCATTTGGACAATTTATTTTAAATATATGTAGGTGTTGGCCTTGTGATTTCTGATGATATGAATACATGCATAAATAAGTGCATATACTGCTATATGCACAATTATTTTTTTCTTTTTGTTTCCATTCCGAATTACTTTTGCTTTTCAGGTATGATTTTCATCTTGCAAGTATTCTGTGCTATGGACATTTTGATTTATATAGACCTGAATGTTAAGCATGTGTTTTTTAAAATATATTCTTAGAATACAGCTGGGATAAAAAATGACAATAAAGGACAGGACAGGAATTCAGAATTATTCTGATAAATAGAAATCCCTGTGAGGAATGGGGCTATCCCTCAGGAATGTAATAGTAAAGTTTATTCTGCCCTGTGGCCTGGTGATGGACTACATGACCTTTCAAATGCTTCTCCAGACCTATTTTATGATTCTGAGATCAATTCATTTTGGCATTTGACAGCTCCTGCCCATAGACTATAGATGGTTCTAATGCCTTTTAAAAAAAGTTGTTGTGGTTTGGGGTTTTTTTTGTTTGTTTTTTTAAATTTTCAATTTTTTGCACTTGAAGCACTTTAACTACCTCTAAAATGTAATCTTGTTTATTTGAAGACTAATAATAAAGGATATGGGTTTCATTCTGCTCTTCAGCAAATAGCCTAAAACTGGATTTTTATGAGAGGTTGCAAGGCTGTAAATTACTGCTCTGTCACATAAAGCTATCTGAAGTTTTATATGCTGTTGATCCAAAGTTATTCACATTAGTGGTAATAACTAGGAGATGATTCATTTCATTTGGCTAATGAAATCCTGGTTCTCAAAGTAGTTTTAGTAACATTCAGCCTGGAATCAGATTATTCTTTACAGCATGTTAAAGTCATGGCAAGGTGGTCTTCAGCCTGCAAGTGTAATTGGTTCTCACAAATAGGTAATCCTGTTAAAATATTGTCAGGTTAATCAAAATTGATTTGTGTGTGTTAAACCCAGTGAATGCTAATCAAGTACTGGGTTAGGGAGCTTCAGCATCAGTTCTAAGTCTTTGGTAGTTTCCCATTTTTCCTGGATGGAATGATTCACTGGATCTGTGGAAGCATTTTGAAGCCTGAACACCTTTCCAAGGCTGGAGACAAACGTACTACAGATTAAAGCATCTCCTTCAGAAATAGATGTTAAAACACCTGACAGTGGGAATCCCTGTATTTGTTATAGCTTATGTGGAATGACTGTTATCCAGAAAATCTGAGTGCTTTGTGCTTATGTCATTGTTATCTGTAGCCATCCTACCAGTTTTTACAAATAGTGATTAAAAATGGATTTAAGGTGGTAATTTTAGAGTAGTACGTGGTGTATCTGTTTTGTAAGGAAATGCATTTAGAACTTCTGTGCTTTACATTGGAAAGATAATTCTGCATAATTAATTTGTTAGAAGATATGATGAACTTTTAAAAATAATTACGTGTTTATCAATATGGGGTATATAGGAAATTGAAATTACAAAGAACAAAAACTTCCTTTTCCCGGATCCAGCAGGAGCTTTGCACTCTGCTCACACCCTTTAAAACTTACAACATCTTATTTTCTTTCAACAGAAAGCTTTTCTTCACAGACTACGGGAATGCTGCCAAGGTGGAGAGATGTGACATGGATGGAATGAACAGGACGTGGATAGTGGACTCAAAAATTGAACAGCCAACTGCTCTGGCACTAGACCTCATCAATAAATATGTGTACTGGCTTGACATATATCTGGAGAGTGTGGAAGTTGTTGACTATCAGGGGAGAAGGAGGCAAACAATAACGAAAGGCAGACAAGTGGGTATTTATTTGCAAATCAGTGAAAAGTAATGTTATCAATAAATGAACGCACATAGTGCTAGCAGCTACAGGAATTTCATAACTTTTTTAGCTTTTTAGTTCAGTTAGAATTTAAAAGATCCGACTACATGTTTTGGTTTATCTGCAATTTAGCAATTTTGCAACCTCTGAATGTTTCCATGGAGTGTCTCATTAACAATGCACCCTGTAAGTCACCACTCTTAAAGACTTCAGGAGGGAAAATCTGGGGTGGAAAGGTGCAGGGAGATAAATCATTAATGACAAGATGTCCTTACCCACTCAGGAAGGAGAGACTAACACACAAAATAATGTGAAATAGAATAGCAAAAGCTGTTCACCCATTCAGACTAATCTGGATACCCTTAAATCTTATTTTTGTTGACGGCAATGATGCTTTTTGCAGCTGATCCCAATGTCCAGAGTCATAAATACAAACTCTGAGACTGTGAGTCTTTGA